CCTCCGGTCGATTCTTGCCAAGCGCAATCGGTCTGGCCCTTCCAACCAGGTCGGGACGCTATGAACCGTTGCTTGCAAACTGTCATGCAACCGTCATAACTATACCTTGAACCGTCATGGCTATGTCAGATCATTGACCCTACCATTTGATTAACCAAACACTCAACCATAACGACACAGCCGATTGACCGGAATGGTTCCGGCGCCGCGTCGCAACGCGAGGTTGAGCCCAAGGAGACAGACCAATGAAGATTGCGCTGATTGCCATGAGCGGCGTGCGCGCCTACAACGAGGAACTCACGGCGTTGGGAATGACCATGCCGGGCTTCATGGACGGGGGAGGTGATCGCCTCCCTGCCCAGCCTGTCGCTGCTCACCCTGGCGGGGATGACGCCAAAATGCTTTGAGGTCGAGTACCACCAGGTGCCTGACATCAGGAAGCTGGACCGGCTGCCGGACTGCGACCTGGCCGCCATCTCGACGTTCACCGCCCAGGTCAAGGAGGCCTACGCCCTGGCCGACCGGTACCGCGCGGCCGGCGTCAAAACGGTCATCGGCGGTCACCACGCCACGGCGCTGCCGCAAGAGGCGCTGCTCCACTGCGATGCGGTGGTGGTTGGCGAGGCCGAATTGACCTGGCCGCGAGTGCTGGAGGACTTTCGGACCGGCTGCCTGGGCGGCATCTACCGTACCGGCGGGCAGGAGTTCGATCTTGCCGACTCTCCCATGCCCCGGTTCGACCTGCTGAACCCCGACGAATACAACCGGATTACCGTCCAAACCCAACGGGGGTGCCCGTGGCGGTGCAACTTCTGCGCCAGCTCGATCATGATGACCAAGCGGTACAAGCTGAAGCCGGTGGAAAACGTGATCCGCGAGATCCGGGCGATCAAGGACATCTGGCCGAGACCCTTCATCGAATTCGCCGATGACAACTCATTCGTCAACCGTTCCCATTCCAAAAAGTTGCTGCGGGCCCTGGCGGACGAGGGCATCAAGTGGTTCACCGAGACCGATGTTGCCGTGGCCGACAATCCCCGAACTGCTTGACCTGATGCGCCAATCGGGTTGCGCGGAAGTCCTGATCGGGTTCGAAAGCCCCACGGCCGGAAGCCTGGACGGGGTCGAACTCAACAACAACTGGAAGCGCAGGCGTCTCGATGATTATCGGGAGGCGATCCGCCGCATTCAGTCCCACGGAATCGCGGTCAACGGCTGCTTCGTACTGGGGATGGACGGCGATACGGTGGACTGTTTCCCCGCAGTTCGCGACTTTGTCGCCGACAGTGGACTGTGCGAAGTCCAGATCACCGTCATGACCCCCTTCCCCGGGACCCCGCTATACGCCAGCCTCGCCGGGGAAGGCAGGATGTTGGACGCCACCGGCTGGGAGAAGTGCACGTTGTTCGACGTCAACTTCCAACCCAACCAGATGTCGGTGGAGGACCTGGAACACGGCCTCATCGAATTGGCGAAGCAGCTATACACCGACGAGGCCAAAACCGGCCGCAGGAACGCCTTTCGCGATCACGTCCGCGCCGCTCGGCAGCCCCGCGTTAAGGAGACGACACCATGGCTGGCAAACGTAGCCTGACCAACCTGGAAACCGGGATGATGGGCGACGCGATGGCTCTCGGACCAATGCAAACGTCGGTGGAGATGACGCGGAACTCCCGTTTCGGCATTCGCGTCATCAGACTGGCGGCCACCAGCGTGGTTGCGCTGGGTTTGATCTGGGGCTTCCAGGCTGCGACCTTGAACGCGCCAGCATTCGTAGGCATCTGCCTGGCGGCGGGATGGGCGTCGATGCCGGTTCTGCTGATGGTCAGCTTGCGCTGGCCGATGGCGCGTTACGGATTGGCGCTCCCCTCTACCCTGGTCGGTTTCGGACTGATCGCCATTTGCCTGACGGCGCTGCCGTCGGACTGGGGAGCCGCCAGGGTTGGTTGGCTGATGACCACGGCGGGTGTGCTCATGGGCGGCGTCCTGGGTCTCTGGTTCTGGTTCCGATTGGCTCCGGTGCCGCGGTTCCTGGACGATCCCTTTGGGCCGGGTCGGTGGACCCTGGTTGCCATCCATATCGCACTAATCGTTGTGGGCCTGGCACTGATCGGTTTGAGTGCTTTGGCCTAATTGTGACCACAGATCGACCGACGTTGTCCGCGTCAACCCGGCATCTGGCCTTGCCATGAAAACGGCTTTTGATACGATCAGCGTTGGAGACACCTTGCCGGCGGTCGGTGAACCGGTGCGTTGGCGGAGGCAACCAGCGCCGCCACGGAAAACCGCTCAACCCGTGGGGGATGACACCACGGACCGGGATATTCAGGACTCCACCCAGTCCGCCAAGTACTGGTTGATTGCTCTACTTGCGGTGTGGTCCCTGTGGGCGCCGATCCTTTGGTTGACGGTGATGGCGCTGGGAGACGGTTCCAATCTGATCGATCCGCCCAGCGAATGGTATTTTCGAGGGCAACTGTTGTACCCGGTACCGTCGCTGTTGACGGCTGCCGCCTATGCCCAAATCCACCGATGCGAGTGGTGGGACGCTGGAGCGGGACATGAGAGGGATGGAGACGGGATTGGCCAGTCTGATTTCGGGCGGATGGCGCCGGTAGTGGGCCTGTGGTCGGCGAGGGGAGCCGCGCATGAAGTGGCCAAAGGCAGCAAGTAACCCTCGCTGTCCCAGGTGTGCGGCGCGAGTTGGAGAGACCTTGGGCTGACTGGCGGATGAGGGCGAGGGTGGCGGGCCGATTGCCGGCGCCGCGGTCAGGAAGGGAGCGGCAGAGCCCGCAATCGAGCCAGGGCACGAGTGAACTGGGTTTCCCATGGCCAGCGCTTCGGAAGATGCAAGGTCAGGCGGCGGGCCGAGCGGGTGAGGCGTCCGGCCAGGGAGAAGAAGCGTCGTCGGAGGGTCTTGGCGGTAACCACCTGCTCACCCAGGCCGATGCGCGCCGTCCAGCGAGCCAGGTTGTGGGCGATGAGCTGCACCGCCAGCCAGGCGGCGTTGGCGGCGAAGTGTCCCGAGGGGAGGTGGTTGAGGCCCACGCCGCACTTCAGGTCGCGGGTGGCGTTCTCGATCTCGGCGTGGCGGCGATGGTCGGCCTCCAGCTCCAGAGTGTCGCCCTCCCGGTCGGTGATGAAGGCGTGATAGCTGTAGGTGGCAAACAAGGCCAGTTGAGATCCGGGCGTGGGCCTCTCCCGCCGCACGTTGAGCCGCACCGACGCGGCGTCGTGCTTACTCTCGAAGGGAACGTAGGTGGTTTCGGCCACGTCGGCAGCGCCGCCCATCCAGTAGGGTATGGGCGTCCAGTCCGCCTCCGGTATCGCTTCGATGAGATTGCGCAGGGTCTGATGTTGGCGGACGGTGATGGAGTAGCGGACGTTAGTCTCTCGGCAGGTGGTGACCAAGGCGTGGTTATAGAAGCCGGTGTCGGCGCGCACTGTGAGTTGTCCGGCGGCCCCAGCGTAGCGCACCCGTCCCACCGTCTCACGCCGGAAGTGGGCGGCGCCCCGAGTGGTGTTGGCGCGACCTTCCCTGAGCCGGGCCATCGGCACGTCGCCGGTTCCGGCAGCAATGGCTAGCAGCGGGTGATAGCCCCGCTGGCCGGTGTAGCCGTCGTGGCGCGCCCCTTCCTTGGCCGGTCCGTAGGTCTCGCAGATGGTGGAGTCCAGGTTGATGGTCAACTCCCCGTCGCCGGGTCCCGCTCCGGCACCCCACGCCCGTGCCAACAGCTCTCGGCTCACCCGGTCCAGCTGGCGAGCGTGGCCCCAACGGAAGCTGCGTAGAAATGTGCCCAGGGTGGATGGCGCCTTCACCACGCAGCCCAGCACCCGCGCGGTCCTGCCAGCACGCAACACGTCGGCGTCGTCAATGCAGTCGCCAGCCGCCAGCGCCGACGCCACCAACGTCAGCATCTTATCCCCTGGGTTCGCCCGACCCAGCGCATCTCTCAGGTCAACGTGGCGGTCCACCAGCTCACCCAGACCCAGATGCTGGGCCAGCGTGACCGGCAGGATCAGACCGGCATTGGCCACCAAACGGTGGTCGTCGAAGACGATTTGGATGCGGTCGGGGTCGCTGCGTGGGAGCATCTGTTAGGTGCTCCTGGTCTGGGGACGGTTTGGTGTTTCACAAACCATTATCCCTGAAGCCGGGAGCACTTTCTTATCCCTTCAGCACACCGCCACAACCATCTCTTCGGTGGATTGAGGTTTAGGTACTCGGACGGGCGCAATCTTTCTGCCGCGGCAATGGTTGCAATACGCCCGCTTTGGAGTTGACCCCGCGAGTGCATCTCGTTCTCAGGGCGACGGTAGGGATAGCCCGGACTGTGACGAAACGGGCAATTCGGTTGCGTCGCTTTCCTGACTGGGCAGGACACCACAGATACGAACTAACAATGGAAAGTCGGGGACTGTGTTTGTGCGTGGGATCCTAACTTTGGACGTAGGCCATGACCAATGGTCAGCGGACCTACATTCCAGCAGTTAGAATGCTGCTGGACTTCTGATGATAGGGTGACGCAAATAATTTGCTAACCGATATGATAATTGGCCCCAGCGGCCGGATGTCCCTTGGTGACGAATACGGTAGTGACGGCGCTGGCCGCGGCGATTCCGGTGCCTGCGAGAGATTCGAGGAAAAACGGATGAACCGGTCGGTTGCAAGAATAGGACGGTTGCTCCCAGCGATTGGACTAATCGCCGTGATGCTGTTGGTGGTGACGAGCTGTGATTCTCAGCCGCCCTCTCCGCCAACCCCAACGTCGACCGGTGTACCTATCGCGGCCGCCACCCTGATGCCGACTGAAACGCCGGTCCCAACGCCAACTACGGCCAGCGCTCCGACGGATACACCCGTGCGTACCCTCGCACCAGAACCGACTGCTACGCTGGCACCGACGAATACTCCGACACCGACCAATACTCCCGGTCCGACGGCCACGCCGACGTTTGTGCCGACCGCGACTCCCTCGTCCGCCGCCACATTGACACCAATGGAGAGGGACCGAGCGATATTGATCGCGCTCTACGAGGCAACGGACGGTGCCAACTGGACTAACAACACCAACTGGCTCACCGACGCGCCCATCGGGGAGTGGCACGGCGTTACCACCGATGGCGATAGCCGGGTTTCGGGGATTGTTTTAGGCCAAAACGGGTTGACGGGTAATCTACCGGCCGAATTGGGCGGTTTAGCGAGTTTGACCAACCTGAGCCTTTGGGGCAACCAGTTGACGGGGCCGGTCCCGCCTGAACTGAGCGATCTTTCCGACCTGGAGCGCCTGGACCTGGGCGGCAATGACCTGACCGGTGGCTTTCCTGCTTGGCTGGCCAATCTTTCGGGCCTTACCAACCTATCACTATGGGGGAACGAACTGTCCGGGCCAATACCCTCCGGTCTCGGTCGTCTGCAAAATCTCGAAACCCTGGATATCAGGACAAACCAGCTGACCGGCACGATACCGCCCAGCCTGGCCAACCTCTCAGACCTTAGAAACCTGCTCCTGAACGACAACCAATTGTCTGGATCAGTACCCGATTGGCTCACCGGCCTGACGAAGTTGGAACGACTGCAACTTGCCGGCAACGCCTTGACCGGCTGCATACCGCCTGCTCTGCAAAACGTCGCGACCAACGACCTGGCCGAGCTCGACCTTCCGTCCTGTGACGCTGACACCGTGTCGTCGTCCCTGCCCGATGGTTCCGGTGTCCTGACCTTCGACGACCCCGATGTGCCCCATCTGAAGTGGGAGGTTGGCCCTGAGGTTCTCGAGGAGTATTACCAGTATGCCCGCGCCGGAATTGTCTATCTGCACCGGTATGCGGCCCCGTTGGGCCTGCCCCCATTGCCGGATGACTCAACCTTTTATCTTTACTACAACCTCGACTTGGCGGCCAGGACATTGGCGCGGCTGGAGAACAGGAGCGTTGAAAGTGCCCGGAGTGCTTTCGTCGATGACTCGTGGGGAGGATTGGCGGGCCTGGAAGATGTGGATTCGGGTTGGACTATGCTCAATCTGCCCTCCCTTGCCCAGGACGGTCAGCCCAGAGGTTTTATGAAAGTCGCCGCCCACGAGCTGTTCCACGTGTATCAATATACGTTGCAGGGATACGGCAGGTTCTCCTTTACCCACTCAGAAGTGCGGGTTATTGGTCCGGCCTGGATGCAGGAAGGAGTTTGCGAATTCCAAGCGATAGCGGCGTTGGCAAAAGGGGGCATCTGGCCTTACGCGCAAAGTCACCAGCGTTACGCCAACGAGGCGCGTGAGGTGGATGTTTCCCTCCGGGAGATGGAAACCTACAACGTGCTGCTCGACGGACCCGGCCGGTTCGCACTGGCTACGATGGGAGCGGAGTTCCTTGCAGCGAAGGCTGGCGAAGAAGCGTTGATGACCTTCTGGACACTGCTGGGGCCCGGCACCACCTGGCAAGAGGCATTTAACACCGCGTTCGGCATGACCATCGACGATTTCTATTCGTTGTTTGAAGAGCATCGCGCTGCCGGGTTCCCCGCACCGGATTTGCCGGGCGCCGTGCCGCGTTTTCCTTTAGCGGAGACGGACCGAGCCGCGTTGACGGCTCTGTACAACGCCACCGGTGGCGCAAACTGGGCAAACAGCGACAACTGGTTGAGCGACGAACCGGGGAACCAGTGGCATGGTGTAAACATCAACTCTGACGGCCACGTCACTCGGCTGGACCTCCAGGAAAACCAGTTGCATGGGACTATTCCAGCGGAGTTGGGCAGCCTCGTCGATTTGGAAAGGCTGATCCTATTCGACAATGGATTGACGGGAGAGATTCCGAATGAATTAGGCAACCTCGCCGGCTTACGGCAACTGGAACTCGCCAACAACCGTCTCGACGGCGCCATACCAGCCAGCCTGGGCAACCTGTCCAGCCTCACCAACCTGGGTCTCGACCACAATCGACTCACCGGGACCATTCCCTCGGCTCTGGGCAGCTTGTCCAACCTGAACGGTCTCTGGCTACAAGGCAACGAACTTAGTGGCGAAATACCCGCCAGCTTGGGCAATCTTAGCAATCTGACGCGTCTGTCCCTCGCCCGTAACCAACTATCCGGACCAATACCGCCCCAACTGGGCAATCTATCCAAGCTGGAACTCATCCGACTTGCCGAAAACGCGTTCACTGGCTGCGTGCCAGTCGCCCTGCAAAATGTTGCCAACAACGACCTCGTCAACCTTGGCCTTCCTTTCTGCTGATTTGGCATCGTGTAGCTAAACACACCTGAGAGATTAGGGGAAAGGTGATGACCATCTTCAAAGTTGCCGCCACAGATTGGGCAACTTGGCCTGAGGAAAACGTTCGAGGCTGTTTTTCCGATGGCGTTTTCGCACGCACGCCGGAGACGTGTGTTGCCACCAGGCTGACTGGCTTCACGGGCTGAAACTGGGCTTGACGGATCGTGTGCAGCAAGAACAAGAAAACCGAGTCCTGCCCAGCCCGATCTCATTTCAGCACGCGCTTTCAGCTACACGGCGTTGTAGCCTACGCTGACTCAGCCGATCACAAGGCGCTGGCGGGCTGACTGTAGTGTTGACGGTGGTGGCGCGGTCCCGGGTCTTGTCAATCAGCTTGAATGACGGCTGGAAGCAGTTCACGTACCGACGCAGCTCCCCGTAGAAGATGGCCATGTGTCGATTTACAGGGTGATTAGGCCAGCCACCTCTCCCGAATAACCGGTCATGCCGACGAAGCGTCGCATCACGGACCGTTCTTCTGCTCAATCCACGCCTGGTCGTTGCTGCGGTACGCTCTGGAACGGGTGAACTCGATGCCTCGATCGGCGCAGTAACGGATCAGCGTTCGTTGATGAACACGCTGTCGTTGTCGGAGTCAATGCCGAGGATGGGAAAGTAGTTATTGATCGATGGCTTCCACCCGGCCACCACCAGGGACTGCTCCCTGGCCAGGAGAGGCACGGCCCTGATTGTTCATGGTCAGGCCAGCCGGTGCAGATGTCGGTGGCCACCAGGCTGTGGATGAATGATCCCGACAGCGGCCACCACAGTGCGCCACCGAGTCAATCTCCAGATATCCCGGCGGTGGTCGGTTCCAATCATTGTAGGTCCGCACCGCACCGCCTTGCTCATGACTGCCGTCGCCGCCGTCTGCGCCGGCTGCCCGCCGTGGGACGAATTGGCTGCAGCAGCCGGTCCAACGTAGCCGCGCTGGCGGACAGCATCGTGCCCGCACCAGAGGATCCAGATCGAGGTGCCCATTACGCTCCATGGATTCCACCAGATAGGGCAGGACCGCCTTCGCGCTTCCCGCAGATGCATCGGCGGGCCTCCCAGATTACGA